CGGGGCTCCTCTGCCGCCGGGCTTGCGCCCCCCGCGGCAGCTGGACGGCGCTGCCCAGCGCAGAGCAGCCTAGTCCGCCGGAGAGGACGGCCGGTCGGTCGGTCTCCCAACTTAGCTCCTCTCCTTCTGCCGGTAGGACTGGACTATCGTAGACCTGCCATTCCCATCCTCCCCAGCCAGCGTAGAGCCCCCCATCTAAGTAGGATTCCCCACCAGTCCCGCGCTGAGAGCCTGGGCTGCCATCTCTGACACCCCCAGCGCTAAAAAGTACGGGGTACGCTTTCCCATTCACCGGCTCTCCAGGGGCTTTGGACTACAGTTCCCATCACTCCCCCAAAGAAGCTAGGGTAGGAAGTTGGCTGAGGTTGATGGAAGTTTTTTTGTTTTTTGTTTTCCCCCAGTCTCTGGTGCAGACACCTGAGGATTGTGTGTGTCTGTGCGCAAGACAGTGAATTGCAGAACTTTTGCTGCTCCCCCAGCAGGAGAGGCTGTGTTTCTCCAACAGGGAGGTTCCCACCCTGGTCCTCTGGACTCATGGCACTGGGCGAGACCTTGGGGCCAAACTCTTTCCGAAGCAACGTCAAAAGGACTTTTGGAGGGATTGGGGCCTGCATAAGAGGGGAACATAGCAAACTTCAAGATGAAACACACTGGGGAGGGGGGGTGCAGGGGCTGTGCTCAGATGACCCCGTTGAATTAAGATGATCTCTGATCCAGCAGACTTTTGACCCCCAAAGGTTGAGACAACATAAGCAGTGCTTCCCAGCCTTGGACAAACAGCCTCCAGCCGCCCTTCCAGTGAGGGGGGGGGGCGGTGGGCTGTCTCATGCTGAGCCCCCGCATCGAAAGGGCTCTAGCCCAGGGCGGGAAGCGTTGCTTGGCACGCAGACTCAATTCTGGGGTCTCTGGGTGACACGGGAAGGACCTCATCCAGAATTCTTGGGGGCATTGCTGCTCCCCAGGGAGTCCTGGAGCTCCCACGGTGGGCCTTCCGTGATGGAGGGGCACATCCTGTGTGGATTATCACGTGTTGCCTAGAAAAACACATTTGAGATACCTGGCATGCCTGCTTGCTGAAGCATGGACAACGAGAGGAATTTGACCTGGATCTGGCAAAACCTACTGCTCTGCTTTGAGGGGATGTCCAACAATCATCTGGAGCAGTGTTTCTCAACCTTGGCCACTTTAAGACTTGCTGGCTGGGGAATTCTGGGAGTCGAAGTCCACCCGTCTTAAAGTGGCCAAGGTTGAGAAACACTGATTTGGAGCATTACGGTGCTTTCGAGAAGCAGTCAGAGTCGGGAATCCGGCATTCTGTAGGAATGCTGAACCTGGGTCTGTACTGCCGCTCACAAGAATAGATGCCAAGGACTGGGGACTGGCATGGGCACCACGATTGCAGCCAAAGCCTTCTTAGGCTTCTGATTTTAAACACGTGCAATGCAACGGCGTCTTTTTCGCTCCTGCGGGAGTTTCCTCCTGCCTAAAGGCCCAGATTGGGAGTTGCTGGGGAGGGCTGTAATTCATGGGAGGGCCTCTACGTCAGCTCAGGGGTCACCTTCCCCCCCCCCGCAAAAAAAGGTTTACCTGAGATGTCCAAGGTTCCCTTTGCTTTCTGAACCGATATTGCTGGAATCAGATCCTTTCTCTTTCTGGGGTTAGAGGTTTCCGAATATTCTGCCCTTTCTTTTGCTCAGACCGGGGACCGCGTCTCAGCAGCCGAGGCTAACCCTGCAGGCTGCCAACCCAGCTTCGCTCCTCAACGCCAACCCTGTGCTCCAGCGAGCCCTCCTCATCCAACAGATGCAAGGTACAATTTCTCCTGCTTTCTCATTTTTTTTCCCCTTCCTTCAGCCCAGATCGACACAGCACAACTTAATTATACTATTATATAATTATTTGTATCAATTATTTTGTAATGAATTTTTATACAGTACAGCATACAGGTAGTCCTCGTTTAGCAACGGCCTCGTACAGCGACCGTTTGCAGTTATGGTGGTGATGAAAAAGTAACTTTACAACCAGTCCTCGCGTTTACGACCTTCGCAGGTCCGTAAAGCAAAGGAAGGCTGAAATCAGATCGTAAGCACAGTTGTGGTTTCACTTAGCAACCACTTCGCTTAACAACTGAGTTGCCGGTCCCCATTGTGGTTGCTAAACGAGGACTCCCTGTATGTATTTTCATGGGGGATGGGGGATTCTGGGAGTCGAAGTCCACACATCTTCAAGTTGCCAAGGCTGAGGAACACTGATCTGTAAGACCTGTGTAATCTTGTTTTTCTTGATCTTGGCTCCTCTGAGGTGAGAGACCAACGGCTCGCTGTAACTTGCGAGCTTTGGGGAAAATAAAAAATTAAAAAGCCATCCTAGAGATCTTTTTCAGTCGTTGGTGTTTATGAGGCGGGTTTTCTGCCACAGTGATCCGGACCCCGAGTGGCCTCTGGTCGCTGCGGGTTTACATTTCAGAAAACGTGAAGCCAGGACATTTGAGAACAGGCACGCCGGTGAATAATTCAGCAGGTGCTCCGTTCCTGGCCATTCCAGCCACGAAACACGGTTTCCTCCTTCCCTCAACCAGGTGCCCTCCAGGCATCTTGGATATCGGCTCCCGGTGCCTAGGCGGGTGGCGAATTGTAGTCTGACACGTCTGGGAGAATCTACTCCCGGTCCATCTCAGATTGTTTCCACCACCCACCCCTGTTCCATTGCCAGCTGAATTGCCCTCCGATTCTTCCTGAAATCTCTCCTCTCGCCTTGCCTCGTCCTGGTCGGGAGAGTGAGTTCCTGCCAAAGGCTGTTGGGCCAAGACGCAGAGCCCTGGTTAACTGAACTCCCCGAACTGCAGGGTCCGGGGTTCAAAACACACCCTGAAACGGCCGGCCATGCCGCCGATCCCCCTCGCCACCCCGTTTGAGTCCAGGATATCGTGCAAGCCTTTGTCTGCCTGGACGTGCGGTTGGCAAACAGGCCCTGGGAAGATCTTTGGATGGCAGGAGTCGAGGGGAGCCTCCAGCCATGTGGGGCGTGGCCCACGTCTGGCCCCGACGCTCGATGTGCATCTTTCTCTTCCCTTCCCTTCTCTGCCGTTTTTGGGGCCTTCACAGGTAACTTAAGAGGCTTCAACGTGGCCGCCGCTCCTGTGTTGCAGCAGTTCTTCCCTCAGGCCACACGGCACTCTCTGCTGGGCCCCCCGCCGGTGGGGGTCTCCCTCAAGCCCCCCCACCTGGCTTTCTCGGCCCTCCCGTTTCATCGCCAGAATCGGACTTTTCGCAAGGTGAGCTTGTTCTCGGAGCTCGACGCCTTCCCTGCGGTTCTCGCGGCCATCCGCCTGGTATGAACGACACCCCTGCGGGGTAGGCAGGGTCAAGAGAGAGCTGCCGGTGAGCTCTGCAGTCAAGGGGCGAAGGGACCCTCCATCTGCCAAATCCAACAATTTTAGCCGCTCAGCTACGCCGGCTTCTTGCTGTTGTCGTTGTGATAACGATGCCGATTGTCCTTCAACAACAGCCCTGACGGCTTCCATATTTTCCCAGTCCTTTTATCTGTCTATCTGCTGCCTTCCAGCCCTTGGAGCAGCTGGTTCACTCAAGACAGCGGTCTGCAAAAGAAATAGCAAAAAGCCAACCTTGCAATTCTGTTTTTTTCACATCTCTTCTTGCCCGTTGAACCGCAGGACTTTCCAAGGGTCGCCGAGAGGAAGCGAGAGGCAGACGGCGCGTCGTCCTCCTCTCAAGGGCAAGGCGAGGAGGGGGCTGCACCGGTGGGAAAGCGGCCTGGCTCTCCGCCTTCAGGTGGGGCAACATACCTCTCGGTTGCGCAAAAGGGGTCAGATCCTTGCGAGAGTCTGCAGAGGCTGATTCGGCTGGCAGATGTTTGACAAGGAAGGAAATCTTGGGCCCCAGATCAGAGCGGGGAAAGTGGAAACATCATCCTGTTTTAAAAAAAAGGTTGGATTTATAACTCAGTCCCATTCGCCTGGGCTCGCCTGTCGCTCTAAGAGAGGGTTTGTTCCTTAGGACTTTTTAAATAAGCCATCGTGGGCTGGGTTCACGCAACCTGCTGGACCATAAACCATAATTGACACACCACCACAGCTGGATCTGTGGAATGGGCCAGGTCCAAAACAGACAGGCATTGCGCACCGCCCAGAGGGCTTCAGCGATTGGGTGGTTTCACATTTTTTAACAAACCCGTTAAAAAAAATAAATAAATGCCTTCTGCCCAGGATTTTGCGTGAATAAGCTAAACCAAATAAGGTGGGAGGGATTCCAGAAACCCACGTTACCCTGAGAGTTTGGGGGCTACAAAACCCATCTGGTCCAGCCCGCATGAATGGTGCTTCGCGGTGGTTTGGTACTGTAGTCCACCCTATTCTAGAAGGGTACCCCGTCAGCCCAGAATGAGGAGGCCTGATCCGTGTGTTTATTTACCATCCCAGAGCCATAAAATACAATGTTTAAAATACAGAAACCACAATAAAAAAAGGAATAAAATGTAGACTACAGAAAAACAAAGAAAGAAAGAAACATGAAAACGAGGATGGGCTGCCGTCCGGTTTCTGCAAGATGCCGCTGTTGCTGGAAACTTGGCAACTGTTCTCACGGTTGTCCAAGTTCATTCTTGCAGATTGTAATTGCTCGATCAGAAAGCTGGCTAAAGCTTCTGATGCTCGGGAGGATGATTGCCGGATGCCACGGGTGGTACCACGGGCAGCGTAACCACCCACGGGTTATTGACTCTGCCGCTGTTTTTGCAAGCCTGATGATTTCTTCCCTGGGCTTGCAGAGACCCCGCTAGAGTCCCTTCGGGATGGCGAGCCGGCGGCCAAGCAGCTCCGAAGGTAAGAATGATTCCTGCATGATTGATCCCGGAAGAGTCACAGGAGGCTTGCTCCGTTGGGTCCCCCAAAGATGCGTCATGTCCCACCAGCGTCTTCCGGAAAGGAGGGGAGAGGTTTGGCCTGGCCGGGGGACTTCTGGGGAATTGCCAAGTTTGAGAAACGCTGGTTTAGACGGTGAAGCGAAGCCTCGACTGCATTGCTGTGTTCTGAGCAAGCGTGAGGATGAACAGGAAGCTGTGTGTGGTTAAAACGGGCGTTTTTAGCATTTTAGCATCGCCGGCATCTCAATGCCAATAGATTTCTAGTTCTTTTTACTCTCTTCCCCCACACGATCCGAGCTTCTCCTGACGTTGCCCGTCGGCCCTGCTCCGAATTTCTTCTAACGGCCCCCTCTTTTTCCTCCCTCTGCTAGTGAAGCAGAAATCTCCAACTCTGAAGATACAGCGGGCTTTCTAAAAGCAGAAGAGGCTGGCGCTGAATCTCAGCTGGAGGGTAAGGGCCCTAAGACCGTTTCTTTATTCATCAGACGTCTATCCCCCTGTCACCCGAAACAGGCTCTCAGCAGCTCGCAGTAACCCCAAACCCAAGAAAATATTAAAACGTGCATTAAAGCCCTGAGACGCTATAATATCTTACAGCGTGCCCCAAGCGCCCTCTGGAAAAGCTGTCTTTTGTTTTTCAAATAATTTTTATGAAGGATTACAATTAGAAAAAAAATAGAAACGAGTACAAAGTACTAGCTATAAAGATCTGTAAGGGGAGACCCAGTGGTCATCCAGTGTAGCCGCTGCTCCCCGAAAGCCTCCCCGAAAGATTTGGCTTTGGAGAATCCACTTCTTCTGTCTCCAATGAGCCCGGTGTGATTCCAAACCCCGTGTATCCCCACCGCCTCTGTTTCCTAGATGCCGACCCCGGGGAAGGAGATGCCGCGGACGCTGCTTTGGAGGAGAACTTTGAAGAGGAGGTGACAACGCCAGAGGTGAGCCGGCAAACCCCAAAAGGGGGAAAAAATCAAGGCGAGCTCGTGGTTAGTTCTTTGGCTCCTCGGCCCAAACCGAGATGCCCAAGGGGGTGCGAAGGAGCAGTCCAGATGTGGCCGGAGTGGCAAGCTGTTCCTTTCCCTCTTGGCCGCGGGGGGAGCAGGAGGGGGCTGCTCGTTGGCGAAAGGGCCGTCCAGCCCCAGAGAGCTTGAACAGAGCCCCTCGCGTTGGCAATTGCCCACCAGGTGGTGAGCAGCGCTGGCACTCTGAAGGTGACGATCCAGCAGAGCAGCGAGAGCCGGGTGATCAGCACCACCCCGGCGCTCAAGCCGGGCCCGTCCCACCCCGTCCTGCACGCCAGCCCCGGAGCCGCCTTGAAATTCTACTGCTACATCTGCAGAACGAACTGCTGCAGCCAACAGGTGTGGAGCGGTGAAGGGCCGCGGGTGCAAGAGGTTTCAAAGGGTGTGCGTGTGTATGTGTGTGTGAGGCTGAAGCGTCTTGGTTCCTCCAAGCACGCCTGTCTGTGGAAACCAGGACCCAGTTCATGCTCTGAAGAACGAAACGCTGGCCTTGAGAAGGCAAACGTGGTTTCAAAACAAAGCCAGCTTGCCCCTGAAAAAAACAGGAAGAAAACAACCAATCCTGGCTCCTGGTAGGCTGGCACAGGGGCTCCCCACCCACGGCAGCAAAGTCCCAGGCTGGCCTCGGTCACCAAATCTTGCCTTCCCCTGTTCGGCCCTCAGTTTTCTGAACACACGATTCGGGGTTTTTTTCTCGCTTTGGAAAAGTCCCATTTCAAAGGAAGGGGCTGGTTTGAGGCAGCAGCTAACCGACGGTTGGTTGATTGCCCCCCGGTTGGTTTTGCTCCAGAATTTCCAGACGCACATGGCAGGGACGCAGCATCAGCAGCGGCTCCAGGACATCCAGCGGATGAGCAACGTTTGCCTTGTCTCCCTGCTGCCTATGGCGAAGGAGCCAACGCCGCCAGCAGACAGAGACGGGTAGGCGTGCGGGTAAAGCCTTGCCCTGGAGGAACCTCAACATCTCCCCCCCCCCCAGTTACTGTGTGCTCCCCTGCCTTGCACTGCAGCGAGAATCACAATCACAAACGAGGTGGTGTGAGTGGAGTCAAGCAGTTTCCCCCGGATTTAGTTGTTTGCTGTCTCGGGGCCCAAGGAATATGCAATGGGAGAAAGAGGGAGGTTGGAGGAGGGTTGAGACATCCTTGTGGGTTTCCCGATTTCGTTAAGAAGCCCTGCTTCTTGCAGGGAGAGCCAGCAACGCTGGTGTAATACCTGCCAGCTGAACTTCAGGGGTGACCTGATCAAGCATCGTCGGACTCAAGAACACAAGGTAATGGCGGCCGGGCACGTGGCCGATTCGGAAAACGGGAGAGCGCCGTCCAGCCGGCGTAAATATCCCCCCTCCCTTTCCCTTCTCGTTCCAGCTGGCCAAACGTTTCCTCCGCCCCTTTTGCACCGTCTGCAGCCGTTACTTCAAAACTCCCCGCAAGTTTGTGGAGCACATGAAGTCCCTGGAGCATAAGCAGAAGGCTCAAGAGGTCAGAGGAGAAGAAGGGTCCCCGAGGCCTGTTTTCAGGGAGAACGGAAAGGGGGGTCAAACCTGCCTGAGCAGAAGCTGGTCAGGGGTGCTGTGGGTCTACCCACATCTTAATTTCTGTTTGCATTAGTTCTGGCTCTTCTGCGGGCCAAGCAGGCGCTCTACGCTGGAGCAGAACACTTCTTCCCCAGCGAAAATCCCATATTATTTCAGATCCAACCCCTGGCTTGTTGGCAATCCCCTGAAGTCTTGTCTCTGCAAACTTGGAATCAGGAAAGCCAGCCCTGGATTAACCATTAAGCAAAATGCCCCGTTTCGGGCACCGAGGGGAGGGGAGTACCCCCTCCCCAGCGATCACGCCCTTAGCTCTTCCAGTCAACTTTACTTTTCAGCCCTTCGTGTCCGTTAAGCGATGGAAGGGGTTGGGCTGTGCTTAGGGCCCCGGTTGGCCTTGAGAAAAGCTGTAAATGATAAAAAAAAAAATTCAGATTCTCCAGCGTGAGCGGTGAAGCCTCACCTGCATAAAACAGCCTCATTTGCACACTTGGGTTGTTCAGTCAGAATTCTGAAACGACAAGGGTTATTTTTCTGCTGTTTCTGCCCAGCTCTGTTTCATGGAGGAGGAGGAGGAGGAGGGTTTATTAAACAGATATGCCACCTGACTCTAGGTGGTTAGAAATGAAAACGTTAAAAACAATGGGGCAGGAAGGACCGCCAGCTGAGTTTCAATGGTCTATGGCTCTGCTTGTGGAAGTGTGGTCTGGTTGGAGTTCACTGGGATTCACCCCTTTTTGTGGCTCACACCATACAACACGGTGGTCATGCCCCCTTGACCCATGGCGCGGAGAGAGGGGTGGAAAACAGTCCCTGTGGCCCCAAGTGGATCGTTTGGCCAACTGGCTTCACAGTCAAGAAGGAGAGCAAACGAAGGAGGTCCGTTTTCGATATCCAAAGGATGACAAGAAGGAAGGATTTGAGATCCCCTTGATGGGTCTGCCCTGAAGGCATCAGCAGCTCCCCCCCCCCAGGAATTGTGTGCAACTTGGCTTCTTCCCAAACCAACTTTTTGTTGACTGCCTGTCTGTCCATCCCTCCTGACCCCATCCTTTCCTGCGCATGGCCAGGTGAGGCTGGCCGAGAAGGAGCTGGATGGACCAGAAGACTCGGAGGAGCTGATCACGGTCGACGCTGTGGGATGCTTTGAAGAGCAGGATGAGGAAGATGAGGAGGAAGATGAGGAAGCCGGGGAGGCGGGCCAGCTGGATTCGGCAGAGGCACTGAGTCAGCAGGTGGGGGTTTCTCAGCTCTGCTTGCCGGGTGGGGGAGTGGAGCAAAAGGGTTCCCCAGGAAGTTTAGAATTTAGCTTTATGGGGAGAGACCATCGTGACAGGATCTTGCCAGCCTGCCTGTTTTTCCTCCCCTCCCTCTCCGACCCCCTCGAGTCTAAGGGGGTCTAAGCCTTGCCGCTTCCTCTCACGGTCTCCTTTCCCAGGGCTTAAGCGACGCTTCTCTCTTTGCTTCTGTAATGGCTCCGGAATGCTTCCTCCAAGGCCATCTGCAGGGCATACAGCGGTGCATTTGCAGATGTTTCTTCACCAGGGCTAGCCAGGAGGCACCTCTGAATGCTGGGGACTGCACATACCCAAGTCCTCGTGAGCTGCGTCCAAGCTGCAGTGTAGATATGGGGGGAGAGGGGGGACGACAAAGCACCGGTCAACCCAGACCTAGAAACCTCCTCCTTACGCTCTTCTGCAAAACCTGAGAACCAACTTTCCAACTTCAGCGCCGAACAGGGGAGTTCAGTTTCTCACCCCCCCAATCATTCCTCCTCCAGGTTGGGCACAGAGAAGCGTCTGTGGAAGACCCAGGAGAAGATGTTGAGTATTGTCCAGACACGGTCTACGGTAAGGGAGCCTAGCTGGCACTGTGTGTGTGTATGTGTGCGTGTTTTTCCTTCTTCTTCTTGCCTCCTGTCTCTGTCTCCACCCACAGAGGCTCGGCAGGGTGACAACCTGCTCCTGGATTGAAAGGCCCCCGTTTCCCCCACCACCTTCACCCCCTCGCCTTCTGTGCGTTGCCGGGACACCTTTATACCAATAGCTTTGGGTTTGGCCTGGTTCATTTCGTATCCTCAACTGGAAGATCACATCCTTCTCGCAGCAACGCTAAACAAATGCGGTGCTAAACCTCAAATTCCCATAATGCCCAGCCTCAGCCCTGAATCGGGGGAACCCGGACCACGGGCCAGCCACACATGGACTGACGCCTTTCATAGGCTCGTGAGGGTTATTCTGCGTTTATTTCCATCAATAGGGATGAAACAGAGCAATTGGCGGCTCCCTTGAGCGTATACAGAGTGCATTTCTCTCATCCCCCTACCCGCGGCTTCCCTCCATGTTAACTGGCTTGCAGTGAGGGCCAGGGCCTTCTGTTCTTGGAGGATGACCATCTCTCTCCCTTTCTCTCCACGGCTCTGAAAAGCTTACTTGAAATGCAGTTCTTAAAAGCAGCCAAGTGACCTGTCTTGTTGGGGATTTCCCCCCCACATTCTCCCCCCATGCCCCGGGCATTGCTCCCACCACCCCTCCCTCTGGAACATGGGAAGATCTGACTGCAGAATTTTCTAACGGAGGGGTTCGTGGCCCTGTCTGCCCCTCCTTGTGATTTCATTGCCTTCCCTCTTCTGTAGTTACACACCGTTCCTGTTGTCGTCTTTGAATTATTTCTGTTTCCAGATGGTTCCTCCGTCTCCCCTTTCCTTAATTTATTAACACCTTCCTCCTCTCCACACAGCAGGACTACCTTGACTGTCTCCCTCCTGAACCGCATCGTCCGTTGTGTTCCTCGGGGGCTTTTATCATTTCTTTCCCGCTGGGCCTGATCCGTGCCCTTCTCCTCTCCACGTTGTTTTGCAGGCCTGGACTTTCTGGTTCCCGTGGCAGGTTTCCTCTGCCGGCTGTGCCACAAATTCTACTCGAGCGACTCGGCCACGCGGCTGACCCACTGCAAGTCCCTGATGCATTTTGAGAACCTTCAGGTTAGCCCTTCTCGCTGCCTCGCATTTTTCTTCATCCCCTCTGCTAATTCTTTTAACTCAACTCCCTTCTCCCATCCTGGCACTGGGGATCCCACAACGTCCCCAGCGTGCCTGCTTGGATCAAGTCGATCTTTAACCCGGAGCTCAGTACCCATTCTGTGCCAGCTAACTTCCTTCTCTGTTGCCCTGGAAAGCTGAACACTGTTCGGGCACCTTTCTGTGATTGGTGCCATTTGGAGTTGGCTTTACTTTACCCCAACCCCCCCCCCCCCCGCAAAAAAGCAGTGTCTTGGTGCCTGAAAATGTTCATTGCAGAACCTTAATTATTCGGCTGCTGAATTTATGCCCCTAGATAGCTTTGTTGCCATGAGGACTAGCGTGCTCCTGTGAAATTGTGATGGCATAGACGGGGTTCACAATTCAGGGCTGGCTTCTTTTCTGCCTGCAGCGATACCGGGCCTCCCGGCTCCAGGCCACGGCTGCACACGCGGAGGCCCCCCTGCAGCCCCTTCAGGGGCTGAGCGACCAACAGGCTCCCACTGCAACGAAGCTGCAGGATCCTGAAGAGGCACTTACTGGACACAAGAGAATTACAACCTTGGGGGCCCCTTCTGAGCCCCCCGGGGCAATCCAGAGATGCCCGGGAGACTTTGAAACGGAGGATATCTGCGGAGCTCCCGTCATCGATGAGAAATGCAGCCCGTCGCCGGTGAGCGACAGTTCCTTAGGGCAAGACGCTGGGGTGTCAGGGGAGGGGGCTGGACTGTACCCCCCAGGAGAGCAGCTTAGTCTGGAGATTCAGCAAAAGGCGGCTGTAGATTCAGCATCAACCAACGAAGAGAACGCCAAGCCGAGCAAAGGCATGGCCGGCCGGGATGGGGGGCCTCCCACACCGGCTGAAGGAGAGACTGTCTCTGCCCCCCGGCGGTCAAACCGGCGCAGGGCAAGATGAGAGTTATGGCAAAAGCGGCCTTCCTCATCTGTAGATTTTTCTGAGAGCTTTCTCCCTCCCTTCGCCTTCTACTTATAGAGAAAAAGAGATGCTCTAGTTTTCCTGCAGTTGGTTGTTTAAAAAAAAAAAAAATTAAAAACCCTACAGCTTTTCTGTCTTCGGTGCAGGATTTACCCCGAGTAATTCTTCAAAGCAGCGAAAGAAGAGACCCCATTTGAACGGGAAAGACGGTCTCAGGCGTTTGGCGTTCCGTGGTTTAAACAGTGACCAAGTTTGTGCAACAGCATAACTCAGTTACTGTAAGAACGTGTTTTCTGGGGTTTGCGCAACAGGCTAAGGCAGGAGCGGTTAAGGCAGCTTAGCCTGTTTTGCAAATAAACACGGCCACTGAGCGGGGGGTCTCTTCACCTGACCCACTCTGGCCTAGCCTACCCCAGGCTGAATGTTCGCAGCAACGCTAGAAATCTTCAGGCCGTATCCGTTCACAAGTGACACGCGAGAGATTTGCGGCGCGCAGTTAAAACAAACTCCACTGACAGACAACCCTCCGTGTGACTTTTCTCACAACCACACCCATTTATTAAAAGTCCCTTTGTGAGAAACCCCGACAAGATCTTACAGCATGGGGACCTCTGAACTCAGTCGCGAGACTCTTAACTTTTTTTTTTGGAGCCAGATTTAAGAGAATCCGTGCAGATGTCAGCCGTGCCAGGCGTGAAACCCATTAGCAGGGGTTAACAGCCTTTCAAAGTCCGATTTGCTTTTAGGGAGACGAAACCGGGTGGTGGGCAGGTACGGCCTCGCTGTAGAATTTCCCAGATGGAGCAAACAATTCTTCACGTCGTCGTCATCCAGAAGCCTGGAACGAGCCTCGCCAAAACCCTGCGAAAGAAAACGAGAGCGCGTGGGCGATTCTAGACCAGCTACCGAGGAGTGTCCTTTAGCTGAAATATCCACAATCTAAGCATGTTGGGGGGTTTTGAGGTTATCAATTCGCTGCGTAATCTTTCACCAGAAGGTTGAAATATACGGAGGGTTCGTTCAGGAGCCATGCAAGGCTGCAGAACCAGGAATTCTTGGCAGAGGGGTCTGGCGCTCAAGGGGCCAGGGTTCATTTGTGATTTGCCAAACCTGGGTTGGGTTGGGCTGGGTTTCCTTCCCCTGTGAGGCGAAAGGATGGATTGGCAGCTTGGGGCCCCGTGCCCACACAGCCCAGGAAGTATTTGCCCAGGCAGGATCTGTTTTGCGCCTGGGCACCCCTCAGTGCCCATACCAGCTAGAGGGCGCCCTGCAGAAGCGTTGGGGGCTTTACCTTCAGCCGGTGCGAGGGGCGTTGGGTGCGGGAGGGTCCGCGCGGCCTCCCACAGCGGAGGGGCCCTACGAGCCCGGCTCGGCCTTCCGCGTGCCCCCGTCTTGGCCCAGCTGCTGCTGGAACTCCAGGCGGGTCTGGCGGTTGGATTCCAGCAGCTCCTTCAGCTGCGTGTTCAGGTGGTCGTTCTTCTCCTCCAGGTGGTCCAGGCAGGAGTTGATCTGATCCAGCATGAGGTTGATGGCAGCGTATTCTGCCCGGGGGGGGGGGGG